ATACAGAATGGCCGTGTGTTTTACTTATTCTGGCATCTTATATGCTGTTCACAAACAGATGACTTGTTATCCATTACTCCCCCCTCCCTTGGTTGCACGAAATCTTTGTAGGAGAAACTAACTTCCAAAAAAATAAGCGGTTAAGGTCTTTTGTTTGAAATAGAAATTTTAACACCGCTGGAGTTCGAAGTCGGCTTCCTGTAGTTGTTGTTTCTTCGGTTTTAAATCATTTTCATTCGGTTCCTATTCAGCCATCTGTTTTTAACAAAAATTTTACTTCAATTTGCGCTATGCGTTCCCGTTTCAAGGGAGGTAACAGATAAAGTACCAAATGCAGAGCAAAATTCACAGGCTTGATCCGTGAGACCTTCCGAAAGTCATGCGTTCTGAATGAGATTCCAGATTGCTTGCTGACTTTTAATCATTCAATTTTTAAAGATGTGAACTTCGGTCAAGCCAGACGAAACCATATAATCACTTTGATGAGCGGGCTATTACAAGCTCTGATCCTATTCATTCGTCCTTGCGTTTTATCAAGGCCACGATAGATAAGAAGGTTTGTTACCATTTGTATGATATTCCTGTCGTTGTAGGGCGTATAATATTACACATTTCATGTCGCTGACGTTAGTGCATCACTGACATCCATTTCTGTGATTAATAGTGTTTTATTTTAAAGACCACTTCGTCCGAAACAAAGAATGACTGCGTGTATACCTTAGAGTGCTAATTCAATCGCTAGAGAAGGACGAATGGCAAACGATCCGACGGAAGCTTACTATATTTCGACACAAGGTTTTCGCCAACTGACAAATTCAACGATTTTTAAAATGTGCAGGGAAATTGATATGGATAATTTTATTCTTTTTTGAATGAATCTCTGCCGGTGGCATTTAATTTTGCACTCAGAAGGGAGTGCTCTACTCTAGAAAAGGTGCATTTATTCAATTGAAAAATGATCTACTACATTATATTCAAACTACGCGAAACGTTACGATATCAAACACAGTGACGGTGCGGTTGAATCTCTCATATAATACCTTTGTTGAGTCGATTTAATGAAAAATTATCCTCCAATTAATTTAACCGTGTGAAACATGCGTTGCAGAATTACTTTCGAAAAGCCTTCAGATTGTTCAGTTAATGCGAAAGTAATGGATATTTATAAATGCAAAGGAAAATTTTGTTTTTGCGTCGGTTGTCTTGCTGAAAATCGGCATAAAACTTGGCGCTAATTAATACAAAACTCATGAAATAGGCTGGTCAACCGGATGGTCGGAGAACATCCGCGTTTAAACTCGTATCTCAGAGCTAGAATGCAAGGATTTGGTCTATGCTGCTAGTTAAATAACTACTGGACAAGAATACTGATCTATTTTCATTAAAATTAGTATCCTTCATAATGCTTGACATTGATATGATGATTAATGCCACCCTGTTGCGCGTGCATCGTATTTTGTTTATACTGGTAGTCTCATAATCATATGGTCATCAGAGGACCTTCTGGCTTAAACAAATACAAATCAACAGCCACGGAAAACAAGATAACTTCCAGTACCTTAGAGATATCCTAATTTTATAAAGGCATGTGACACATGATCCGAAACATCGGCATTGGTCAATAGTCGGATTTGCCATATTGACTATTCCAGTGCGTATTGACAAACAGCGTTTTATTTTGTTTTTCTTCTTTTGCAAATTTATCAGTTTCCTTCTCAGCACATTTTTGGTAGATGTTTGCAACTGTTGCAATGGAAAAGAGATTACGGTACTCCTGTGAGATTTACTTCTTCACTTCACATTCAATGACTGCTTCTGCTTTCTGGTCGCTAAGGCAGATATGATAGACAGTGCTTCCAACGCCCCCGATCTTGTGCCAGCTACTTAGCTTCGGCAGAAGACAACGGGACCGAGAGAATATTCCTGCAATACATTTGTGTGAGGTTAATCGTTGCCGTCAGCTCGGCCTTCTACCGGTAAACTGGACAAACCGTAATTGATTTTCCTTACCTTCTGGAGGCAGTGGCAATACGTGCTCAGTTTATCGCAGCCATTGCTTTTCAATCTGAAGTTGCAGCGGCGGTGGATAAAGCCCTCTCGGATTTCTGTACTAATGAACATATCGAGACGCTTGTGGTCAGTGACTAGTCTCAAAATCCAACTTCATGCGCTTGTACGAGAAGACGAAGTTTTTCTGTCATGGTCTACGACTCGTGAACGTACGTGAACATGGAGATGAAGATCAATTGAAACACTGAGAGTTTAGCCAACAGACTTAACTCTGTTTTAATCATAACGGTTCGGTCTAGTTTAGGCACAACGCCACGGGGATAATAAAATCCGCCGGTCGATCTCTTCCAAGCATTTTCCATCACTAATAAACACGACCACAAGGTGCATGAACTTCAATTCCTGCTCCACTGGTACTCCGTTGATCCGAAGAGACTAATGCGCAGAAAGCATTGGGTTTTTCGTTTTCGATACGTTAACACGCATGCGAGCCCTGTTGTACTCGGCTGAAAATATTTCCAGATCAATTTCAGAAGATGCCAACAAGTCTGCAAATAGCAGCGATGCATTCATCGACCTGGCTTTGACTGACTATTCTATCCATCTACAACACAAGCAAGAGACGGGTGATAACATAGCCTCTGTGGAGCCCAGTACAAACGCTGAAAGATTTTACTAAACGCATTTAATCTGACCCCGGACCAGTTATCAACATATAATGATTGGATGGACCGTAGCAATTGGCCATCGATCCCATATGTTCGCAGGCACGTCCATAAATTAATCCGCTGGATCCAGTCTTCGGCTTTCTCTGCGTCCGAAAACATATAAATCGCATGAGCGGACTCCCACACGGTTTCTTAACAGTTGACGAATATTCGTCAGATTTGCTTCGGCCGGACTAGAAGTTCTGTACTTTTATTTTGGTGCCAGTTATTCAACGGAGTATGTATCCTAGCACCATTATGTGAACTTTACAAGTGAGGCTCAAGAAGGTAATGCCAGCACTCTCTATAGTCTTTTTTCTTGAACAAGAGTGCTACAACTACTGTTCTCCAGTCTGGTTGTGTCTTTCCTGTAGTAATTGAAGTTCGACAGACACATGCAAACCAGCAGATGACTATTTTTCTAATGCTTGAGCACTTCAGGTGGATTCCAGCATACTTCACTTTTTAAGCTTGAGTGATTTCACCTGAGAATACTAATATCCGTTCCTTGCTGCTCATAAGGCGTGTCTTCCTGCGCTTGCTCCAGGTTATTTACTTCCTCAGTCTAGTCTTTCCATCGCCAAAGAATATCCTTGCCCTGTGTAAGAGGGTGTCCTAAACTCTTTGACTGTTCTTCTCTTCACGTCGTAGGTGACGGATGGCATGAAGAATACCTTGTCTCTCGACTCGGCAAAGTCACCAGCTTCTAGAAGGAATCAGCTTTGGCTTTCAACACTACTTCCGCTGCCGCTTTGCACTCTGCAACGTACCGTATGCGAGTTTTCCATTTGATTCCCTGGTTGCTTCTGCCAACAGGTCGTCA